ATTTGCAATTTCTATACATAAGTTTAAAGTTAAATGACAAGATTGGGATTGTTACATTAGTGAATAACGGAAAGATTTTTGACGGTTGATATTTGGTAATTTTCCAAATCCAGTTAACATGACTTTTTTAAAATTTAATGATTTTGCTTTCTCTGCGGCTCTTTTGGTTTGAGGGGTATTTTCGAAAGGATTTTTGGAAGCAGAGGTAGTTTTTTGAAAAGTAGAGGCAGATCCATGAGAATTTTAAATGTAATCTTCTATTGATAGCAATGGTAGTGACATCTTTTTCTTGTTCTTATTTGAGGAAGAAGACTCCATTTTGACTACTACAACCTCTTTAAGAAGGTTTATTTTATTTTATTATTTTTTTTATTGCAAAAACTCTCCTATTAAGAAATATGTAAGGGTGTGTTTGATTACATTTATTTTTCATGAAAAATAGCAATTTTTCACGTAAATTCCTACTTTGGAGTGTTTGATTACTATCTTTTTCCATTGAAAATATTTTCCAATTTTTGAAAATATGCCTAATTTTTCTTAATTTTTAGGAAAATATTTTCTTTGGGAGGAAGTAGATTTTTGTTTTCCTCAAAACAAAGAAGAATATTTTTTTTTCTAGGTAATAATTTTCATGCCAATCAAACACACTTTAAGATAATTTGATTTTCCTTGAATATATAGAATTTTGAAATCAAAACATGATAAGATGACATGCCATCTTGCGAAAATTTGTTTCGAAATTTTTTTTTATTATTATTATTTTACGTCTTTTGATGCTTTACAATCTATTTTTAAAATAAATTCTTCAGTGATTAAATCATCTTAAAATTTTGAAACACTAAAACAATCGATAAAATTTCTTGTTTGACGGTTGAGTAATTCTTTTGAGGGCCAGTCCACACTCCACTGTGAAAACTTAACCTATTGTTCTTGATTTGACGATTTTGGAATCTATTTCAATATCCCACAATACCCTATGTCTGATGCATCAGTCTCGAAAATAATGAATGCAAGGGGACTATAATTGAAAGGCATGGGATTCTTTTAACTACTTCTTTAACTTTTCGTACAGATAAAGTATGCTCATGACTCCATGATGCATGATGCTTATGTAGTCTTTTAAAAAGAGGGATACATACCAGCCTTATATCTTTGATAAAGTCTGAATATAATTGACACAACCTAAGAATCTTTGTAGACCTGATTTATCTACGATTTCATTAGAAAATTTGTCGGTGAAATCTAGACTTCTTTGAATCGGTAATGGTTCCTAGATGAAAATACTGAATATCAACTTGTTCAATTAATGAAAATTATGGCCAAGTGCTATAACGCATATATTGCTAAAAATGTTTCCCCTAAATCTTTAACTAACAACTTAGTTATTGGATTTACTAGACAACTCAAACAACGTTGGTTTAATTACCTAATTCAAGAAGAAAGAGACAAGGTTATGGATGTTGTTAATGAAAAAGGACAAAGTTATAGTCTCGCTACTCTTGTCTTTAAAGATCTGAATATGGAATAATATCATCATTTTGACTTTTGATAGAATTTTTTATTTGTTCAGCAAAGAGTTTAGGAAGTTCAGATAAAAGTATTTCTTTTTAATAGGTTTGATTACAGTCTTCACGAAGTAAAAAGCGAGTTAAGAACATGTCTTTATACTAGCTAAAATCGTGAAGTTTTGGACAATTGAGATTTATGAGAATATCGGATTGCCGATATAGAATATTAGTAAGAGTTCCAATAAAATATTTGATAATACTAAAGACAAGAGTAGCAAAACTATCACTTTGTCCTTTTTCATTAATAGCATCCAATTTTTTACCATAGCGCCATAAAGATGCTCAATAGTTTTTTTGAAATATTTTGTAGGGATTAAAACTTCCCGAATACAATTTTTATCAGCTCCTTAGCCAATGAGGACCGTAGAAGTGAGTTTGAATTCTTTGTTGACAATAATGGTCATAGGACTATACCAATTTTGAAGTTGGATTCGGTTAATAATGTCAACCTTTTCTTATTCAGTTTGAGGGTTGGAATGATAAGCATGAGAGGTATCCTTGGAAGCATCGTCTTTACAAGAAGATTCCAAAGAAAAATAAGATTTATGAACTTATTCTTATTCTGAATCTTTTGTTTTTAATAGTACTACTTCTATATGAACTTCCTTCATCTGTCGTTCAAGAGTAGAAATTTGAAATTTCATCTCATTATTATCTTCTTTTTCTTAACCATAACCTAAAATTTAAAAAAATAAATAAATTAGTAAGTAAATAAAATATTGAAAATTTTAGAAAATACTTCAGTTGACTCTTTCAACATTTTAAAAAAATAAAATTAAAAAAAATTAATTGCTATATAATTAACCAAATTTGTTCGATAAAAAGAAATTAAAAAATCAATTAAAGTAATTTTTTTTTATATTAGTTGTTATTTATTAGCTAAAAAATCAAGATTTTCCATTGTGATATTTTTGCAACTTAAAAGGTTGTTAAGTATGCGTGAACAAATTTATTGATATCTACTGCGGATGAATACTTTCTTGTGTGCGACAAAGTTTCATATAAGAGAAGAATCTATAAATATAACTAATATATATATTGTTGAGTAAAAAATGAAATAATGAAATAATTGATGCAATGACATGAATCGATTAATTAAATATTAATTTATGGAGGGATATGAATGATAAAGAAAGAAATTAATCTTTTTAGGTGAAAATGAAATAGAAATTGAAATTTTGGAGAATAGAAAAATAGTTAACAAAATTGGTATGTAAATTGTTGCATGATGTAAAACGAAGCATGTGATTTGTTATTATCAAATATGGATAATGTTATTTTGGTAAAAGTTTTGTCTGCTATCATTTTATAAAATGTAATATGTGAAGTGAAATTTGAAAAATAGGCTGTGTGAAATGGATATACACCTTGACTATTGTATTTGGTAAATTTCCCCACAAAATAATTCAAACAACTTTCACAGTTCTGAATTGTTTACTCCGAAAGGCCAACTGTCAAAAAGTTTAAGGATTAGTGCTTATAGGAAAGGATAGAGACAGGAGCAAAGTCATTGAAACTAACTTCTTGAAATGTTTTTGAATGACTAATGGTGCCCAAGTCATAATTTATTATGTATCTGAAAGACATCAAAAGCGTGTGTAAATTGCTTCGTGAGGATTGGGTCAATTAGGTTGTTGTATCGGTCGATATCCATTTCACGAGGCTACATTTAGTCACCAATAACGTCGAAGTAAATCAACAAGAATATTACTGTCAAAATAATAAAACCCCGAGTCTAATTCTTCACATTCACCTTGCAAATCATGTAGTTATTAATAGATAGAAGAATCATAGTAACCTTCTAGAAGATATTAGCATCATTAAAGTCTTCAAAATCATATAATGTATATTTTCTTTCACACCTCATGATCTTCAATTATCTTCTATTTTATGTATAACAAGTAAATGCTAAAGAACATATAACACGTATAATGTATTTAAATAATTTTTATGATATTTTATATCTAAATGATAGCAATTTTGGTTGAATTCAATCAGTGAATTACCAACAGAATGCTTAAAAGATCTTTGGGGAATAAAAATAAAGATTTATTCTTAATTCTTCATAGATAAACAGGAAATTGGTTGACTAAGAAACATTGTATTTTAGTTAGGAACACCACAAGGATATAATTGTCTTTTTCCCTAATCCAATTAATTAATTGTCATTGTATTTTATATTGCAGCATGACAAACAAGACTAGAAAAATTTCAACAATGATTAGTAAATGATTGGAGTTTGTCCAACTCAACAAGTAATTAAAAGATGAATTATTGTTTCAATTCTTACCGGTTAAAAGTCCTTCAGTTGATCATAGGTGGATTTTATGATTAAAACCATGATAAAAATCGGATTATTTTGGCATGGTTTACTCAGATTACGAATGAGAGCCGCTTTGGGTTTACACTTTACATGTTCTTATCTTCTTAAATTGTCATTCTTTAAATTTATATTCGGTCAGTATCAACTTCAATTTTTGCATTTGCCATATATTCTCATTTTCAAAAAATCGTATACCAAATGCCTTATACTGCTTGAGAAGTTCTACATTGAAGTACTTCGAAAACTGTCTAGTGGCATGTTATACATTCCTTTCCTCATTTCTTTGTTGCGTGAATTATTTTCCGATACTTCAAAATTGGTGGATTATGTTAAGTTGTAGAGCCTAACTATTGCTTCTGTGCAAATCCGTATGTGGATCGACCTTCTAATTTTGACCCTAAATTATTGTATAAATAGGAAGACGTCATTAGGGTTTTGTATTATCATGAGCGAGAGAGAGAGAGAGAGAGAGAGAGAATATCAGCTTGTAAGATCCTTTTATCATAGTGAACTTTTACAGCGACGTATAATAATATAGTCTTACATTAAGATGAATCTCTATAAAACCTTACTTGCTCTTGTTTGTTTTTCTTTACTACCATTTTACTTCTCTGGGTGCCTAGTGTTATAAAATTACAGTTTCTAATTCTGAACATATTATTGAATAATATATTTGGTGCATATCAAGGACATGCCTCATATGCAACATTGAATAATATTTTTATTTCTTAAACTGTCCGTTGTTTACCCTATCCACCTTGTGGAGCATGTCAAGGGTGAAAATATTTACTAGCAAATGGTCATCAAGTCCTTCCAACAGGAGTAGGCACAGTTGGTCCTATCAAGTAGGTTTAAGCCTGCTTAATGACACAATACGAAGATCCAATAGAAATATACTTTTTCTTTAGTCAATCTTAACTCCATAAAAATTCCTGGAAGGGGACACCTGGTCCTAGCTCCAAAAGGTCAATAACAATTGGAAGTATTAAATGATAAAAAGGTACAGTTTCTATACTAATTCTTTTTGATACTTCAATTCTTTATGCCAGAAAGAGTTTGCTAATTACAAGAGTGTTGTTTCTTTAATGATAACGTGTTCAACCTTTCCTTTCTTTATATTCTTGAGAACGAGCAAGCTAGCCTCAGATTGAGTCTCATTTCTCTGTACTCCCGGTTTTCCCTTCTGATCTTTTACACACACATATATATACGAAGAAAATCATATACTCGAGTTGTTTAAAAATGGGGTTCAAACCAGTCGACAAGCTTAAAATCAAGCACAAGAAGGGATTATGGTCACCAGATGAAGATCAGAAACTTAGAAACTACATCCTGAAACACGGCCATGGCTGCTGGAGCTCGGTTCCCATCAATGCTGGTAAGTGTTAATCTCGTAGTCTGCTCTATGTTGGTTGGTCTAATGCATGTTCAAGAACTCCTGTATTCGACATTTGGGATAAACATAGTCCATGCTGTCTAGCTATAAGAATCTGCATCCACATGATAGGATTTGACAAAATTTAACATCACATCTCTCATCCCTTCCGCCCTTTTGTGATATTGCCATCTATTCTGTAAAATCCATAACAACTCCTATAATTTCAACATCATAATCTCGGTTTTAAGCGTATTTGTAGTATTAGTGTGATCCCATGATTATAACCTTTAGTTATGCTAAATGTCATTTTTATGAAAGGAACATCCTTTAGTTCATTCATGTTTATGACTTTGAATACACATTGGTCCAGATAAATAACTTATTAAAATTAAAAATGAAGAAGTCTTCAACGAATGATAAGAGTACATCTCATACGAATTAGTTATCTTTGTGCACTACTTGGAATTTTTTTTTTGGGAACTGGTAGGATGGCTGCCACAGGTCAATATACCAATAGAACTCTGATAAATTTTTATACCTTCTAAGGAATAAATGATTATTTAATATCTTATATTAAACGCTAAAAGGCACCATTGAAGTTGACCACATTTTTTTTTTTTTTTGTCCTGTCATTTTATTGCTTGCAGGTTTACAAAGGAATGGAAAGAGCTGCAGATTAAGGTGGATTAATTATTTAAGACCAGGATTAAAGAAAGGAACGTTCAGCACAGAAGAGGAGGAGACAATCCTGGCCCTTCATCGAATAGTAGGCAACAAGTAAGAAAATAAATCACATTCGACACTTAGTGCTCCAAGATAACAAACAAGATTTTAACTTCATTTTATCATTTAATCCTATGGCTACACTGACTATAAGAGGGGTAGGCGATCGTCTAAAGCCTACTTTGGTGAGGGCCTCAAATTATATAAGGATAATTGATTGAAGGAAAACAAAAATTATAATTAAATTAGAATTATCAATATGCAAACACATGAAATTAATAAAAATTGAAAATACAAAAATCTTTAAAAAATATATAAATGGTGTAAAACTTATCACTTATATTTATTTATCATATAAATATATCACAAACATTACTCTCTCTATAAGTAATTTGACCATTTATCTTCCAAACATCAATTTTATTTTCTTAACCAAACGAAAAGATCTCTTTGTCTCTTCAAATTCCAATTTTAACCGTAAGCCAACATAATTTTTTTCGACCCAACATAATTTTTTTGACCCAACAAGAAATAAATTATCTCGATTGAATTAAAATTTTGAAGATTCAATTTAACAGATTGGCCTGGTATCATTGCGATTATTACAGCCTTACAGGTTTTTCAATTTCTTATTTATCTTCAAAACATATACTACAGAGTTTATAGACTATTATTATTAATGTTTTGCTTTAATCTCATGATAATAATATTTATAGATACTTGTTAAAGGTGCAAATAAATTATCTCGATTGAATTAAAATTTTGAAGATTCAATTTAACAGATTGGCCTGGTATCATTGCGATTATTACAGCCTTAAAGGTTTTTCAATTTCTTATTTATCTTCAAAACATATACTACAGAGTTTATAGACTATTATTATTAATGTTTTGCTTTAATCTCATGATAATAATATTTATAGATACTTGTTAAAGGTGCTTTGACTTTAATAATTCTTTGTCCGTGTTCATACTTTTTATTTGTAAGTTAATTTAGTATGAATTAATATAAAATTAGCAGCTCATTTGTATTTTATCAGCATTTTCATTATTTTGTTATACTATCTCTCGTAGCCAACATTCTTCAATTTGTACAAAAATCACTCAAATGCATATTCAATTTTATTTTAAATATTTGCATTGAGAAAATAATAAAAGAAACGAATAGACCCCTTTGTCATTGCATTATAATCTTATATGTCAAACTTCACTTATAATTTGTATTGCATACTGAATTTTGACATTTTGTTATTTTCCTTTTCAAATTTTAGTGCTTAGTTGTCCATATTAAATTCTTCACGATTATATTAAAACTCTTTATAAGAAGGCTCAAATAAGAATGCATTGATTTTCTTCAAAAAGGCCCTGAATTTAAAGTTTGCTAAGGCCCTCAAAATATCAAGGCCGGTCTTGATTTAATCATATGCATACTACATGGTCCATCATGCTAAACAAGTCTTGAGTGAATTTATAATTTCTTAGATGCCTTTTTGAATTAAGCGTATGTTTGGGATAAATTTTCATCCAAATTTTAATCAATTATTGTACTGTTATTGTTGTCATTTTTTACTTCCTTCTCAATACAAGTCAAACATTGGGACCTACTTGCATTTTGCAATGATATAAAAATTGATTTTAATCTTGCAAAAAGTAGAGAAAGAGGGGGGCTAGATAAACTCATAAACATGATAAAATGGGATTGAACATTATTAAAGAATAAAGACGTGATAAATAAAATTCCAGTTGAATTCTCCCTGTACCAAACATGACATAAATCATTAAAGACTTCTGAACAAGGAATAACATTTGTTACTTTTGGCTTTCAGGTGGGCTCAAATAGCACAACATTTGCCTGGAAGAACTGATAATGAGATAAAGAATTACTGGCATTCTTATCTGAAGAAAAAGTTAGCAAAGCTATACGGAAGTACTGAAACTTGGGCGAAACCTGAATCAGCAGTTGGGCAAATGGAAAATGTGAACTCTTCATCTTCTTCCCCGAAGTCGACTACTCAAAACTCAAGTTTGGACTCATCTGAACACATGGAAGGATCATTAATGGATACAGATCAATCTAATAAACAAAAGACTCGAGCCCAAAATTTTAATTTGCCCAAAATTCTCTTCGCTGAGTGGTTCTCATTAGATCAGTTTCATGACAAGGATTTGCAGAATTCTGGCAATTTCAAGAATCCTTTTAACAACCCTAGTACAAACTTTCAAGACGAATCTATTCTTGGTTTACTGCTTGATGATCAGACGGCTGGGAGGGAAATGCATACAAAACCAAACAACTATTCACTTGATGATATATTTTTTCCACCGTTTGATCAAGATCAGATTTTGGAAAGGGGGCTTGATTATTTTCCTGGTGAATTCAGCATGAGTTGTGATGAAATGTATTTATGAAGGGCGCGTGTACCTATGTATGAGCAACTTCAAGAGAGAATAACCTCTAAATGCAATAACAATTATAAAGCAGGATAGTGAGAATCCATGCACAGTAATGATTGGTTATTGTTCACTTGAAGTTGCTAGTTAGGACACACTTTCTTTGTTATTTCTTCACTTAAAGTTGCTTCTTCGGACACGTGTCCATTGTGAGTACATTAGAAGCTAAAGGGCCATACTGTAATAATTTCATAAACGGACCGTTGCTGATTAGACTTGAAATGCACGACTTTTCTCTGGTTTGATCTCAGATTGAATCGATCACCTAAAAGCTTAATCTAAGAAAAAATATCAACGAACTATCAAGAATTACTGGAACTTGCATTTAAGGAAACCGTTTGATATTGTAGGCTACCATCAACCTTCCTCCTCTTCCAAATCTATGGTTACTCAATTAGAATCCACATTAACTCGCCAAATGGCAGAGTGCGAACGCGTTCGACTAGAAGCCCAGGCTCGGCTGTACAAAAATCCAGTGCTTCCCATCCATCATCTGGGGATAATTCTGAGGGCGACGCTTTCCTCGGTGTGTGGAATTCTGAAGTTGGGAAAACCTTTCAAAACATTAATGCAAGCATTTGATACTGCAGTGGAACAACTACTTGTTGGAAAGTGGGTTGTTCAAAACCAACAAACTAAAGTGAGGAATGAAATAAAATAAAAAAGGAAAAAGAAGAGGTGTACAAAAGTTGGGCCATGCGATCGCATGACATTTAGCCATGCGGTCGCATGGTACAAAAATCCGACTGTTGAAGGTTGGTTTTTAGCCGTTTTTGAACGTTATGGTTTTAATTTTGGTGGCCTTTCATGCATTTTTGGCACCATTTCGTGAGGCATAATTGAGATCTATAAATAGGTGATCAATGTTCAAGAAAAATACATTGAAAAATACATATAATTCATTCGATTGCACAATACAAGAAAGATCAACAATCCTTTTCTTCATATTCAACTCATTTTGTGTTCTTCAAGTTTTGGTGGAAAATACTTTGTGCTTTAGTATTTTTTGAAATAAGGCTTGTTATAATCCTTCAAATCATTTGTCGGAATACCTTTAAAAATCTCGAAAACACCGGAGAAGGGGCAAATAATGTTTGAGGACAATGATCCCGCGTTCAAACCTTCAAAATTGCTCTTGCGAGACTACAATGACAACCATAAAACTTATGAACCAAGATTTGGTGCGGTTGGATCAGTTTGATGACACTAACTTCATGCAGTGGCAAGAAAAGTTAGAATTTCTCCTTACTGCATTGAAGATCTTCTATATTTTGGATCCCATCGTTATCGGAACCCACTAATGGAGAAACCGACGCAATCAAGACTGAAAGGCAAAAACGCCAAGAAGATGAATTAATATACTGTGGTCACATACTCAACGCGCTGTCGGATTGTTTGTATGATTTATATACCAACACAATATCGGCAAAGGAGATTTGGAATGCTTTAGAAAGTAAATACAAAGCAGAAGAGGATGGTATCAAGAAATTTCTAATTTTGAAATATTTTGACTTTATATTTCTTGATAATATTCCCTTGCTACCCCAAGTACATGAACTTCAAGTAATTGTCAACAAACTAAAGGCGGTAAAGATTGAAATTTTAGAGATCTTTCAAGTGGGGGGCTATAGTCACTAAACTCTCAGGGGATTAGAAAGGATATCAGAAGAAAATAATGCATAGTTTCAAAGACTATTCTTTGGAACAATTGCAAAAACACCTTTGAATTGAGGAGAAATTCAGATTGCGTGATAGAAGTGAAAACTTTTTGGAAGAAGCTTCTAAGGCCAACGCCATTGAAAAATTTGAATCGCTTGCAAAATTCAACAAGAGGAAACCTTCGAGAAATTTCAGAAAGTCCAAGAAGAAGACCAAAGGAGTGTGTTTTGTATGTGGTAAATCTGGACACTATGCGAAAGATTGTAGACATCGGAAACGGAATAACTTCGAAGGTAAAATAAATTCCATCTAAGAGGACAAAATTGTGGCCATCGTAAGCGAAATAAATGCAATCAAGGAAAAAGTTCTCGGGTGGTGGTATGATACTTGTGCTACTGTATATGTATCATATGATAAATCTTTATTTAAAATATATCATTAAGTGGATGGAGACCAAGAAATTCAAATGGGTAACGAGTTCGGTCCAAAGTCATTGAAAAATGAAATGTTAACATTATCTTCACTTCCGGAAAAAATGTTACTCTTACAAATGTATTACATGTTCCGGATATGAATAAGAACTTGGTTAGTGGAAATCTCTTAGAAAAATCGGGCATTAAAAGTATATTTGAGTCCGATAAACTTGTATTGTCTTTTAAAGGGAAGTTTGTTGGAAAATGCTATTCTTGTGAAGGAATTGTCAAATTTTGCTCCGTTGACAATGAAATAAATAAAACTAATTTTGCTTATGTTGTTGACTTATTTTTATTATGGCATTCTAGATTAGGACATATTGGTAAAAGTACTATAAAATGTATAAAAAAATGTGATTTTATTTCATATGATGAAAATAAGGAATATAAATCCAAGACACGTGTAGAATAAAAAATGACTAAAATATCATATCAAGGTGTTAATAGAACTTCTAGTATTATAGAATTAATCCATACCCATATATGTAAACTAAATGAAATGCTAACTAGAGGTGGAAATAGGTTGATGACTTCTCTAGATACACGTATATTTATTTGATGAAGTATAAACATGAGGTTTTTGACATGTTTAAGGTGTATAAATGCGAAGTTGAAAATCATCTAGGAAAGAAAATAAAGACTTTAAGAAGTGATAGATGTGGTGAATACTTTTCTAGTGATTTAGATTTATTCTGTTAACAATATGGCATAATTCACCAATGTTATACATCTAGGACACCCAAACAAAATAGTTTGGCTAAAAGAAATAATAGAACGTTAGTAGAAATGATTAATGTCATGCTTATATATGCTAAGTTGCTGTTTAATTTATGGGGATGGAGTTTCATTAAGTGCATGTAGCATACTTAATAGGATTCCTTCTAAACATACAAAGGTTTCTCCTTATGAATTGTGAAAAGGAAGAAAATCGAACATTGGATACTTCAAAGTGTGGGAGTATCTTACTTATTACAAAAACACGAACCCTAATAGGACCAAATTGGGTCCAAGAGGCATTAGATGTGCCTTTGTTGGATATGATAACAATAACAAATTTTATAGATTGCTAAATTGGAGACCAATGTGATTATCGAATCAAGTGATGTAGACTTCTTTGAAGATTCATTATCTTCATATAATAAATTAAGAGAAAATCTTGAAAATATCCCTAGCTCAAGTGGAATGTATGATGAAATATCTTTCAAAGATATTGATGAATATTGTGAACCACGAAGAAGTAAGAGAACTCGAGTTGAGAAGTTTTTGAGACCGGATGAAATTGATTCTCAACTTATCTCCTTTTACTGAATAGAGGGAAATGAATTAAATGTTGTAAGAACAATTCCTTTTGTTTTACAAGTGAAAATCAACCCTAAAACCTGTAAAAAATCTATGGCTTCTCGTAATAGCATTTTCTGGAAATATGCAATTAAAAATGAAATGGATTCGATATTGTCTAATAGAACTTGAAAACTTGTCAATTTACCACTCAGATCCAAACCTATTGAATGTAAATGGGTATTTAGAACAAAATATAATGTTTATGGCTCTCTAAATACTTTCAATGCAAGATTAGTCATCAAAGGATATTGACAAAAAGAAGGAATCGACTATTTTGACATTTATGCACCGGTAGCTAGAATAACATCAATTAAGATATTATTCGCATTGGCTTCGATATGTGACTTGCATGTTCATCAAATGGGTGTCAAAATGGCATTCTTAAATGAGAATATCGATGATGAGGTCTATATGGAGCAACCCGAAGTGTTCATTTTACCTGAAAACAAACATAAGGTATGCAAGTTAGTGAAATCATTATTTGGTTTGAAGCAGACACCTAAGAAATGACATGAGAAGTTTGACTTCACAATAATATCATTCGGATTTAAACATAACAGCGTAGATAGATATTTATATTCTAAAGTATGTGATGATTAAGTGACATTTGTATGCTTGTATGTTGATTATAAGTAATCTCATGGACAGTATAGAAAAAACAAATAAGTTTTTTATCTTTCACATTCAAGATGCCTAAGACAATCACATTATATCAAGAATACGATAAACAAGTTTAAAAACTTGAACGTAAAAGAATATAGTACTCCAATTGATCCAAGTTCAAAACTCCTAAAGAATGATAGGAGGGCGATTGGCTAACTTGAATATACTAGTGCTATAGGAAGTCTCATGTATGCAGTTTAATGCACAAGACTGGACATAGTCTATGCAATAAGTAAACTTAGTAGGTTCACTAGCAATCCAATCAATGATCATTGGACGGTCATTGGGAGAGTTCTTGGATACTTAAAGAAAACTAAGAACTTAGGCCTTCAATATACTAAGTTCCCGGCGATATTGGAAGGATTTATCGATGCTAGTTGGATATCTAGCATGGATGAAAGTAAATCCACCTCGGATTGGGTGTTCACTCTAAAAGGAGTTGCTTTTTCTTCGAAATCAAAGAAACAAACATGCATAACACACTTGACCATGGAATCCAAATTTGTAGCCCTATCGGATACCAGAAAAGAGGCTGAGTGACTTAAGGATCTCTTCTATGAGATATCTTTGGGATCGAAAAATATTTCTTCAATATCTATCATGTGTGATAGTCAAGTCACATTAGTAAAAGTATACAAGGAGGTATACAACAGAAAGTATAGACACATGAGTCTTAAACATGACTATTTAAGGAAATTAATCAAAGATTGAATAATTTCCTTAAATTATGTAAGGTCAATTGAGAATTTGGTGGATCCTTTGACTAAACCTCTAAATAGAGATTTAATAACATCTACTTCAAGTTGAATGAGGTTGAAATTCTTTAACTAAAAAGGTCCACCAATGACAGCAACCTTAAATGTCATTATTCAAAAGGTAATCCATAGGTTTACAGGGTAACAACAACAAGTCATTCGATCTGTGGATATTTACAGTATTATTCAAATCCGCAAAGACCATATCCTAATATAAAATAATACTGATTGTTACTAAAATAAAGGTTCAGCGTTAAGCTCTTAATGAAGTTCAGTGTTAAAACACAGGCAACTCTAAAAGTAACAAAGGTACTGGAAGAACTTCACCTAAATAGTCTTCAAGGTGGTGTCGCCTTAATAGAGAGTTGGAGTTTCTCTCTTAAAAGTTTGTTGAATAGGATGAGCGCAAGGTCATAAAAGCGCTAAGCAAGTAATGAAGAACTTGAGAACATGTGGTATTCATGTATGTGTTCTTACCAGTATTGTCACTTGGAATAACTTATTCAAAGCTTCAAACTACCTTTAATTTCGACTTTACTTTGTTTGAATTACACTATGGTTAGATTCAAATCGAAAGATATCTAATCTTTATGCATGAGTATCGTATACTTTGAATTTAAGACCTTGTCAATTTTGAACAAGTGGGGGATTGATGGAAAGTGGGTTGTTCAAAACCAACAAACTCGAGTGTGGAATGAAATAAAATTTAAAAAAAAAAGAATGGGGGCCAAAAGTTTGGCCATGTGACGGCATGACATTTAGCCATGCGGTCGCATGGCAGCCAACAAAAAATTCGAGGGCTGGCTTTGGGAGAACCATGCGACTGGTACAAAAATCCGACCATTGGCGGTTGGTTTTTAGTCGTTTTTGAATGTTATGATTTTAATTTTGGTAGCCTTTCATACATTTTTGCAACCACTTCGTAAGGCATAATTGAGATGTATAAATAGGTTATCAATGTTCAAGAAAAATACATATAATTCATTCGATTCCACAATACAAGAAAGATCAACAATCTTTTTCTTCATATTCAACTCCTTTTGTGTGCTTCAAGTTTTGGTGGAAAATATTTTGTGCTTTAGTATTTTCTGCAACAAGGCTTGTTATAATCTTTCAAACCATTTGTCGAAGTACCTTTAAGCATCTCGAAAACATCGGAGAAGGGGCAAATAACGTTTGAGAACAGTGATCCCGCGTTCGAGCCTTCAAAATTGCTCTTAACTATTTCCTATTTCTTCATCTTGTTTTGCTACAATTTTTGTATTATATCTTTTGTTTTTTCTCCATCACTTCCACATTTCCAACACTACTCCCAGCCTTACATCTCAAACATCGTCATTGACAAAAGTCGATTCGCATTAGCGAGTTACAATGAATGCTGAACCTTGTAAAAACATTGGATCCACTATAATAACAGGCCAACACACTTGGGAAATACGAGCAGTTACAAAGCAGTCTCATGATTTCGATGATTTCTCTGATGAAATGTAGAATATATTATTAGATTTCTCGACTACTAGGGATGGATTGGGATTCCTATGAGAATCAAAAGGGATCTTCTGTAAGCAATTAAACTTTAATGCCAAGATCTTAGAATTTCATGATTTTCGAGTACAAATGTAATTGACCAAGAAACATACCTTGAATTTGATCCATGGCAATGATTGAATAACTTGAATATTCAAAAGAGAAACTAATAAAGTAAAGAAACTATTCTCTCACTTTATGATGTAGGACATGTTGGGGAAAATGTACTAATAGAGTGGAAACATCCTAATTATGTATTGGGCCCATAAGACCATTCCGGAAAGAAGATGAGGAGGTGAACAATATTCATTGCTATGTCGTGACGTACGATAAATTTTGACCATTCGAGTTCGTTTAAGACTCAAAAACTGATTTTTAAAGTTTTAGCGTTATTTTTGTTATTTCGTTTATTTTGGGTTTCCTTCAATTTTAATTTGTTTAAACTTTGTTTTCATTAATTTTAGTTATTTTAAACTACCTTTCCATGTAAGCTCTTATAAATAAAGTGTTATTTAATTTTTTTATCGTTAATTAATAAATTTCATAAGTTTATTTTTCTTCATAATTTGATGGATTCCAAATTTCTTGTTCTTAAAATTTTCCCTTGAATTTCTTATTTCATGCTGCGTCACTTTACGTTTCTCTAATTGAATGAATTGTTTGATGGGTTTCATTCATGTTTATAAGCAGAGAGAGACAGTTTCATGTGCCATAAAGAAATAAATAACTACCAACTTGTCATCAAAATGGACAATTATAAAACTATCATTTCTCAATTAGCCAATTGGATTTTCGAAATATAAACCACTTTAATTAAGGGAACAATACATAAACCCTATATATAATAAACACATTTCAAAACTAACAAACTCCATAAAAATTTTCAAAAATCAGGTGATAAATCAATTTATTAAATTTTTAATTATAATATAATATAATATAATTAATTACATCAAATTTCATATCCAAGTCTCTCTCTCTCTCTCTCTCTCTCTACTCTCTATCCTCTCCCTACCCTTTCTCCCCATCGGAGGCGACCATCGGCTCTAGCGACTACTCCGACAACCTCTCCGGCAGCTACTCCGACAATTGATCCGACTCTAGCGATAGAAAAATCTTCAAAAATTGAAACCAATTTCTCTCTCTATGCTCCACTATAGAAAAATCTCCAAAAAAATCTATCCGTCAACTGATTTATTGCTCGTGATTATTTCTGACCAAATTTTTTTTTGCCATAACTATATGTGATCGTCTAATTTGTAACTGTATGTAATCAATTCATTGATCTATGTTGTTTGTGATTAACTGTGATCAATTTTGTCTTTGATGTGACTAAGTGTGACCAAATTTTTATTCAGTGTGACTGTCTATGATTAGACCAATCTATAAACGTAACCATATGTGATTATTATTAATTTGGTCACATACAATCACAACTAAGAAAAATTTGATCACTGATAGTCACAATAAAGACAAATGTGGTCACAATCGATCACAATTAACAGAGGCTTGATCACAGAAAGTCACCACAAACAAATTTGCATGCACCACAAACCAACACCAGTTACAACATTAGCACCTTCAATGCACCACCATTACCACCTTCAACTCAAATCTGCAACCATAAATACTACCTTAACTTCAAATCCACAACATCAATCACTATACCATGGTTTCCACTTCTACTTTATATCAATCACAGCCTCTACCCTCCAACTAGCATCTCAAGAAATCACCCCAAAGCAAAAGCAGCATATAGGAATTGAATCTGGTTGTACGTCCCTAATTTGACATTGTCCATTGTTCGCATCTTGAGGTCCATCAGAATGATTGGTTGAAGCTATGGGTATGTGATCGGGAGGGTTTATATTTGTAGAGAGAAAAACTTCAGTGGCCAGAAAATGAATTGATTTGGGAGAATATTTCAATTTAAGTGATAGGAAAGGTGGGTGGGTGGGATGTGTGGGGGTGGAATGTATGGTTGCACATGATTTAAGCTTGTGTTTGTTTCCCATTTCGTGTAAAATAAAATGAGAAATTCGAACGTTATCCTGACAAAGTCGTCTGTCACTATAAAGCCATTTATTGCAGTTAATACCCATGTTTCCCCAAATGCCCTCCACCACCAACCCACAGATCTCCCAAATCTCCAGCATCTCTTCCATTGAACCAAGACCTCCACACCACCAAGTACCACAGCAGCCCACTTCGCATACTCACCGTCGATGACTTCTTGCGTATGAGAAAAAGTAAGTCACCATTCTGTGCACAGCGCCCAACCTCCTGCCTTTCAGATTGACAAATTATTACCAGGGAGCTCTCAAGGACGAGAAGGGCACACCTCCAACATCGTTTAAGCACGACGCAGGCACCGTAGGTGATAATCTCGGACTCCTAAATAATTTCCATGGCCACGCAGTAGCAATCAACGACCTTGACAGTTCGATTTTGTTCGCAGATGAGAATAAACCTTCTGGGAGTCGTCATTGGAAGAAGGGTACACAGCTGTTCGGCCAACTAAATTTCGTACATCTCATTATTTTGCCCATCAAATTCCTGTTGCCAAGTACGAAAATAGGTTTTCTCGAATTTCAACCTCATCTAAACGTACCTCATGAGAACACCCTGTTTCGCTTTCTATGGAGCCCTCAAACATACAGGTTTGGACATCGCCTCTACATTTTCGTTCTTTACTCTCCTATTCGAGCTTCATACTTTGTAATTCTGCATCTTGCTTTCCCAGCCAGGTGATGTTTCCCTGGTGAGTTCCTCCACGGCCGCCACAGTTGGCCAACAATCGGGGTCAAGAAAACATGCTCGATGGAATCGAGCGAAAAGGCAGACCTTTATTGCAACCTGCGAGACTGCCATTGTCGAAGGACATCGCATTGGCCGGTGTTTCACAAAACACGGCTGGGAACTTGCGATGGCACTATTCAACTCGGTGTCCGGGCATAGCTGGACTAAACAACAACTCCTCAACCATTGGGATGCGATGCGTCGACAGCATAAACCTCTGTCGGAGCTACTTAAGGGTAGAATTGTTGCCTCTGAGGAGTGGTAGTCACGAAAATTTAAGGTAACAATTTTGTCATCCAATGGTGCATACGGTGAATCTATAATTTAATTATCGGAATTCCATTGCTAAGATTTTCATTTTGATGTGACAATTAACAATGTTTTCATATGTCTGACCGGCTTCATTAATTTGAAATGGCATACTGCCTTTACTTGTTGGGGGTAGGAAGATATGGTTTAGTAGTATCGACTTACATTTTGAAAAAAATGAATCCCTTGTGCACATTTTCATAATTGCTCACTGCACCACATAGGCAAATGAGGAATGCGTTTTTTTTCCAGCCCACATGTTACTGAACTGTGTTTTACATAAGTAGAAACCACTTCATAGTGCACTTGCCGGGGGTAGGAAGATATGGTTTACGTAGTATCGACTTAGATTTTAAAAAAAAATGAATCCCTTGCGTACATTTTCATAATTGTCCACTGCACCACATAGGCAAATGAGGAATGCGATTTTTTCAGCCCACATGCTACTGAATTGTGTTTTACATAAGCAGAAGCCACTTCATAGTGCACTTACTGTACAGCCTTTTGTTCCTACTTCCACAAATAACTCACTAAACTGTATTTTGTTGTCATGCATGGGAGGGCATTGGGGGCAAACTGTTGGTGCAATTTTATGAATGGGATATTGGAGTGCAGTTTCTATGTCCCGTACACACATCGTGCGATGTTGATTTAACTATTTTTCCCGATTTTGTCGCAGAAGAACAAGGAGTACAAGGATTTCAAGGATCGAGATGTGAGCGACATTTACATTCGATATAGTTTGCTGTTAGGGGACAGTTACAGCAGTGAAAAGTACGCAATTACCGTAATAAAGCTGTGCAGAACTGGATTCAAATGTTTTGAGGATAGTGCTCCTGAAGACCATAGAGATGTAATACTTGTCGAGGGTGAGGGTAGCGGTTCAAGCGACAAGGGCGATGGGAATGGTAGCAAAAGCATGAGCATATCGAGGCCCAAAAGTGGCGATAAAAGGAAGTCGTCGACATCGAAGCAGCGTGGGAAGAAAAAGCATGTTTCGACTCGTAAACTATCCTTCTCGATCGATCGGGCGAATAGTGTCGATGAGGTTGTGACGGCGAAGATTAATAGCATCATTGATCCGACGGACAATGCCAGAGCTGCATGTGAGGAGGAATTGCTTTCGACCGGTTGGCTATAAACGCGGATGCCAATGCACTTCTACGCTTGCACTCTCCTAGCACAAAAAAGATTTTGAGACATGCTCAGTGTCGTGCAAGATGCCGATGAGAAGTTCGAATGGATCAAGTGGCAGTTCAGCGAACGTAATAGATCACTGCATTAGCTTGTTTCAGTATGTGTTGGTTCCACTGTGTGTTGCCCTTTGTACGCTTCATGAGTTCGTGTTGTAATATTTGAACTGTGTTATTTTTTTCCTTGATTGCCTGTATGTATGACATACTCTAGGTTCGCGTGCCGCCTAATGTTGGAAACGTTTATTTCGTGCTACTGTGTTTGTGTTTAATAATATGTTTTCCCATCTACCCTACTTTCTTAGATATTTTATGTAATTTGTAAGATTCTTTCCTTTGTACATGTCATGCTTGTACCTCAATAATGAATCTATCCTTGACAATGACATACTTGCCACTCGTATTAGTCATAAATGTAATAATGGTCCCATTCCTCACACCTCTACATATATGTTATTCCACAAGTGGAAGAGCATAACGAATATAAGCAAGGGTGTTTTACGTAGCTTTACTACAATATTTTCTAAACATAGTAGTCCGCGAATGGATGTGATGGATTTTAATTGCTTCCTATTCTCGCACTCTGAGGCAAAGGAGAAAATCAGCGAGGAGGAAATTTGCAACGGCCTTGCCGTGGATGTCAACGCATGACTGGAGTGCTACAGAGTATCTGACACTGACGCCCGTAAATACTACAATTGACAACGACGACGAATTTGTAAATTTCCGTTCACAAGGAATGGGCACATGTTTATGATGGAGGCATTAGAAGGGAATGGACGTATGTGTCACCAAGAATTCCGAATGTACCCGCCAATGTTGCGACATTTCACTCATATTCTCCGTGACAAGTATGGCTTATGCAGCAACCAGCAAGTGGATATCTATGAGTAGGTAGGTATGTTCCTTTGCATCTTAGCGCATGGTAAGGGATACCGCCAGGTGACAAGTTCAATCATTCGTTGCAAACAGTATGTCACTATTTCAAGCAGGTGCTCCGTGCTGTTGTCGCATTAGCGCAACGTATGATCCGTCCGGCTGACAACTACAATGAAAGTGTGGAGCCCCACAGGCCTGACCCAAACAAGCATCCACTATTCCAAAACTGCATTGGTACTATTGACGGGACGCATGTGAAGGCTATGCTACAGCGTCACGAGCGTGTCAACTTCATTGGAAAGAAAGGAGTACCGACGTAGAATGTCTTAGCTACATGCGATTTCAATTTATGTTTCACCTTTGTGCGCGCTGGCACAACAGGATGTATGCTCGATGCTCGCATACTAGCTCGTGCAATTCTCAGTCCCAAAATACATTTTTCGCAACTAGCCCCAGGTAAATATTATTTGGTGGACTCAGGTTTCGTACATTGGCCGAGGTATATGGCCCCTTATAAAGGCTCAAATATTCTGTATCACTTCCAACAATTCGCTGATGATGGTACGGGGCGACGCAGAAGGTTTCGAAATGCACGTGAGAGATTTAACTTCAAACACTTGTCATGCAGGAACGTCATAGAACGTACATTTGGTGTGTGGAAATAGGGTGGAAAATCCATGACCGTATGCCTAGCTACCCATTCCGAACACAAATGGCAGTGGTTGTAGCGACGATGGGTATTCATAACTTACTACGCCATTCAAGGATTACGGACGAGGCATTCTTGCGGGCGGACACAAATGAGGATGCGCCCGCGGAGGTGGAGCTTCCAACGCAGAGGACAAAATGCATAGCGAAATGAATGTCGTCGAAATGCAACGAAATGAATGGGGATAGGCTGCGTGATTACATGGCACAGCAACCATAACGGTGATTCGTCGCGAGTGTCGCTTTTTATCGAAAATTTATCATTGTCATGTACCCACATTTTATATCCATTCCAATTTGGGTGGACGTTTTCACATTAACCTGAATAGAAACACAGAATTATGAATTAATTTACAGCACCAGAAGGATGGACAGAAACAAATATAGTGTATTATTGTTGTTTAAAGGTCACTGTTGTTGTATTTCTTACATTTTAACTTTGTATTTTTTTCATTTTTATTCTAAAAGATAATGTTTACAATTGCAAATGAAATGTAGTGTATATGAACTCTTTTTTATAAAGAGAGCCGCTCTCCTAATTAATCGGCAAATTATGCTTATCTCGTTTTTGGTAAGGTGGGTTAAATAGTATCGAAGCATATGAAAATGGAAAAGAATTTTTTATTTTTTTTCATTTTTGCCTATTATTTTATTCAATAGAATCTAATACAATGAACCTAACTTATAGTACTCTTTAATCTTTATACATGCATTGCAAAATTACAACTCCTCATCTTTTCTTGTTTCCTCTTCATTTTTTTCAGATAAATAAAAATAGTTGTCTTGACATAGTTGGTGGTATGTGACTATAATTAAATACATTAATATATCCTCAAATTGCCTATGGAACGTCTTCTATATTTGATGATAATTTGATGTATATGAATATTTTAAGATTCACCAATTTCAAAATTTGAAACTGTATTATCTATCTAAAATCGCTACACAATTTCAGAACGTCGTTTTCACTGTATAGGATGAAGAAAGTACTCGTTCTGACAAAGATCCACCACAATCTTTCGTCTGTATAGTGGCATCCTGTCCGCTGAAATTGTTTCTATCGGATGCCCCAGAACGAAGCATTCTATATATTTGAGTACGAACATTATACAATTTGGTCTGTACAAGAAATACTTGTACGTTAGTGTAATGTGCCATAAACGAGAACTTAACAACGATAATAAATAACAAGAATTGAAATGCTCATCCATTGTTTGCACATGGTGGATAAGGTATAATCTCCTGCTTCATTCATTACTTGATATGTTTATTTATGTCTCGTTTGGTAGAAAGGGGTCGACACTGCAATAATTCTTGAACCATAGTGTATGCTATGTTTGTTTGTGCCTTGATTACATCTGGTGTGTGAACATTATTGCTGCAGTCGTATATCTGAAATTTTCATTCAGGAATATTGACCATGAAAAGATAACATTCATTGCCTAGATATGAGCTTGGAATTAATAAATACTTACACCCCATCCACGGATGACTATTTATAGGCAATCTACCATTGACATAGTCTTGTAGGCGCGTTCCATCCATTTTACCTCTCTGGTTTCCCATTCGAAAGTCCATTTGCCACCTCATATGACGAGATCTTTGCTCTTCGAATTGGAATTCCAAAATCGCATATTGTTTATTGATAAGTGTACAAGCTTCGTTCATACGCCGCCTCAATAACTTCAGCTCCAGCTCAATATGCTAATAAAATAAACACAAGTAACATATATCAGGCATATTAACTACAAAATCAAATTGAGTGTGGTTGCTAAAATTTCGTACCGCAATATTCAGATCTTTCGTTCGATCCAGTAGCGTTCTCAGCATGTCCCATCCGTAGATGTTCCCATTGCCGTCGTCCAAGTATGCACTATATGACACAATTGACATTAGTATCAAATAAATCAACACAGAATTTCTGGCATTGCCGTAATAATGTTTAGCATTCGAACTACTAAGAATGAGTAAAATTTGTTACCCTGATTCATCTGTCGCTATAAAATCTCTAATTGTCCTGTACTTTTTCATGTCGTAGTCTTCTAACGGATGACTTTTCGATGATGAAGACTATGTGCACTTCCTCTTCCTTTCCCTTTCTCTTCTTAACCTTTGAGCATGTTCAATTTGTTGAGACGTTGACGTCTCCTGTTCATGATCAGTAGGATTTAGACTTGCATGAGGAGAGACATCTTGTTGTAAGGAACTTACAATGGCTTCCATGTTCGATTCCCAGTTAGATAATCTATTCTGCATATTCTCAGTATGTTCGTCGGTATATGATTTCACGGAACATAAACTGAAATCCACATAATACCGTATTTGCTCTTGTTGCTGTTGAAATAATTCTTCTTGTCTTTGCAGAACTGCCTGATAATGGGCTTCTTGTGTTTTCGATTCGTGGGCCATATGACTCTGAAACAAACCAGATAGAAAATTATCTATGTACGAATGTAAACCATGTTGCATGTAATCTTGCGATGATTTGGTCTGTTATTTGAACATTAGCTTTTGGTTGTCAAGGATCGCGTGGTTTAGGGCTCTTGATTCTTTAACAAAGTCTGTCTTCAAGTTGCCACATAGATCGGACACATCTGATATTGTATGCTGCCTATAAATACCAAACATTTCTTTCAAACGATCTTCAGTTATATATCTTGGGGTACCAGAAGCAGAACTAGACTCAGCTCCAATTGAAGTTCTCGGTGTACCACCACTTGTCGCTTGCTGCGCACGGATATGATCCGATAATGATTGTGCTACATTATCCAATTCTCTGTTGACAATGGCATCTAGTATACTATGTTCATCCTCAGCTAGCAGTGACAAATTTGTATTCCATGGTGTTTCTAATTCTTCTTCGGTAGGTTGCAGCACTGCAAGGATTTTGATCTGTAATCATCATAAACAAGTTCATCTCAGCAAATTTTTCAATGTCAAACTTTACCAATTTAATGCGAACATCATTGTACGTTGGAATTAAAAAGTCATACCCCTTCCATATCCAGAAACTCTTTAACAATCGCTTCTTTCAGTATTGTATTAGGCCTCCACTTGTGCATTCGTGGAATCTGTGCCGTTTTGTACCTACGACGTCCAGACTTTTGCCCGATTTGTGGAAATGCTTCATATATCTAATACTGCAACAGAATTACAGGTAAATATTGATGTATATAATATATTTTTTTACGAAGAAATTATACGAAATACAGGAACACTTAGAATATGAACAACATACCTGAAATACAAGTGGATAGCCTTGTACTGTATACTTACATTCGGTTTGTCGGTTCTGTTGCATCCTTACCACTCTTTCCAATTGCGACTCTCTCAACGAATTTAACAAAACGAAATATGCGGT